CAACAACGAAACATAAATTAATCACACTAGCGTGTAAATTATTTTGTTCAAATTCATACTTAAAATAAGAAAACGAAGCGTAATATAATATAATGTACTAGAATATATTTTATTTCATTATTGGAGCCTTTCACCCAGATATAAAAAACACTCATGCAATACCGATAATTGAAAATAATATTAAAACCAATTATATATGTACATGCAATCAATACAATATAATCACAAATTTAATTACGAGATTACTACTTCTAATAGATAAATATTCATTGTTTGAATCATAGTAAACGAGTTCTTGTAATTTGGTGATTAACCACATATTATAAGCTACAATATAGTTAAATAAAGAAATATTATCTTTTCAATCTGAAACACATTAATTATACATATTTACACATGCGTGTACTCCATCGTGACGCATAATTCTTCTGTCAATACATATTATACAATGCAAGAAAATATCTTTCTTCAATTACATGTAATTGTGTAATTGTGCAATGTACGTGCGCGTATGCGTACGTCTTGTAAAATATATACGGAAAATCATACAATCAGCATTAATAATGGATTATGATAAGAGGAAGAGAGAAGAAAAGTATAATATACAAGGATACTTGATTTAATATCGCACAATATACTATGCATTGCTGAGCAGAAATTCTACAAGATAATACAGAAAGTAAGATACTTCAGTCATTTTTAGAGTACATTCTATGTAAAAATAAGTCGAAAAGAAAGAATAAAATTTCTTCATGTGACACTTCATTTTTAAGAAAATTGAGTTAGAAAATTTATCAAATATACTTGAATTTAGCTAATTCTAAAACGTGACAGAGAAAAATAATTAGCAGGAGATTATTTTGCGAAAAGAAGAAAAAAATGTAGAAATTTTGTTAAAAGACGTTTCGTTTCCGAGAATATCGAGTTTGAAAATTTATCAATTATACGTGTACTAAAGTAATTTCTAACGAAATATATTCAAAACTTATTTTTTTTTTTTAAATGAAACTCTAAGTCAAAAAATTTTATTTTATATTCTTTTGTTAATTATTCTTTTCTGTCACGCCTAGAATTTAAATTTAAATATACTTGATAAATTTTCAAAACCCGATTTTTTCGCAAACAATGCGTCATACGAAAAAATTTTATTCTTCCTTTTTCAATTTTTGTATTTTTCTATGTAAACTCACATCTTATTATATATTCATAAATATTATATTATTATATATTTATAAATATATCACGAATATCTAAATAATCCCATGTCATAATAATACGAAATTCAAATTAATTCTTTTAATTAAAAATAAGCTATGCGAGATAGTGTTTTACAGTCATTTTGTCGGAAAAATTTCATTAATCTGTGCATATTAAATATTGCTTAAAAAAAAACTTTAACAAAGAAGGAATAAATTTATTCATCATATGTACATATATCCCTTTGCACTCGAGGTCGCCATTTTCACTCAGTCGAACTAGCAATTCGAGACGATTTCGGCTATATTAGGGAAGTATTTTACTTTAAAATGATTTTATACTCAAACGTATATAAATAATAAAATTTCAACAATTTATTTATGTTTATGTACAAAATAAAATCTGTTAAATATTACATTCTATAATTGGTTTTCGTGTGATATTTTACGAAACAATCCCCGAGATGCATCCTCGGTTTGTCAGGGCACGTGTCACAATAATGCGAGGTTTCACGTCTACCGCCAGGCTTACTACGGTAAGAGCAAACCTTGCAATCCCTCTTTACCCCTTTCAAAACAATATGGAGCTTTCCATTTAGCCGGTGTTCATCGATGATCGACGTCGACGCTTGATCACGACGCTGTAGATAGGTTCTTCTCAATTGCTCCACAAGCGTTTTTAGATAGTGCAAATGATTTAGTGGCCTCTCGTCTCTTTTCCTTTTTTCTAGTTTATAAAGTATGTATGAATTGATCAAGCAAATTTCCATGCCCAAGAAGAAAAGCTTACGTCACCATTTCAACGATTTTCGCAGAAAACAATATGTCGAAGCATATTGGTCCGCTCGATCAACGCCACCCATATATCTTATATAATTCACTATAATATTGGGTTTCTTGATGTTGATTTTCACACCACCTCGTACAATCCTTTTGACGGTAGCCATTCCTGTGTTACCTCTAGTGGTCAAACAAGTGACCGTCCTTTTATCCTTCCACGCTAAAAGTAAAGTGTTACCTCGTCGGTAAGTTATCGTGGACTTTTTTAAAAATTTTGGTTTTCTTATCTCACTCGGCAATTCCTTTCTGTTCGTTAGAATCCTCCCGGTAAGATGACATTTCAGTTTGGCTAGTTCTCGAGCCAAGATGCAACTAGTATAGTGACGGTCGGTGAACATATGGTGCCCCTGAGCACCGGGGATTTTATCTAACAACATTTTATAGAGATGAATCGGAATTCTCGTGGGAACAGGTAGATTAGGTCTCACCAACAGCTCGGTTGTGAGTGATCCACAATATGGTAAGATACAACAAACATAGCCAGTGTTTGAATCAGCTAGAGTATAAACTCTGATATCCCATTTCGTTGGTTTCTTCGGATTGTATGTGATGAATGAAATTCGGCCTTTGAATTTCACAGTCGACTCGTCCACACATAATTGCTCGCCCGGTATGAAATAATCCAAGAATTTCGAATTGATATAATCTAAAAAGGAACTTACTCGTTGTAGACGTTTTCTCGGATTCGTATTTTGTGTTGAAATAACTTTTAAGTGAAGCATCCAGAATATTTGATTGAATCTATCTCTCGTAAATGTTTCGGAATAGAAAGGGATATAACTGACATTATTTCTCGACCAATAGTCTTGCAAATTGGCCAACGGCATTCTGCCCATATTTATCACAACAGCAATAAATGCAAAGAATTCTTCGTTCTCCACATTACGCCAACTTCGCCATATTGAATTTGGCGATAGCGTCTTCCCTTCTAATTTCTTTCTCGCGTAATTATTCGTCTCGCAAACTATTTTTTGAACGAGTTCATCGGTAAAGAACAGTTTAAAAAAATCCACTGGTTCCTTTATATTTGAAGTTATGCGTGGTCCTGTGGCTTTTCCGCCAGATATAAATTGTACACTTGGCGGCACTTTTTCGTATTCTCTGCACAGTAGCCATTCTGAACTGTTTGCATCATCCTCCGCGGTTTCACTTTCGGCTTCACTTTCGCTATCTATAATTCTAATCTTTCGGCTTCTCACGCCTCTTACTTCGTCACTATCTTGCCCACTGGATTCGTTCGTTTCGTGGATAGAGGTAATTTGCTCGTTCAACGACGAAAAATCGAATTCGTCTGAACTTGAACTGATCTGATCTCTATCCATATTTATAGAAGTGCTATTCTCACTGCCAAGACTGTTTCAGGATAATGCTAAGACTAACGCTAAGAATGCAGCCTGGTTTACGAAAAGAAACGTATCGGAAACAAACGCATCAAAGCTCGAGAACGCGAGGGCGTTGTACTGGCGCCCCTCGAGTGCACGCATCAAACCGCTCGGGCGCCGCAGCAGCGCCTCTCGAGTGAACGCATCGAAACACTCGGGCGCCGTAGCGGCGCCTCTCGAGTGCAAAGGGATATTAGTCATTATTAACTTTGAATCACAGAAATGATCAGTAATGGAATTAAGATCAGTAAAGGAATTAATTAATGTTTTTAAGACTTTTTTTAAGATTGTATAAGAAAAGTGAGTTCATCTGACTGTGAATAGAATGTAACCAATGAGTTCATCTGATTGCGAGTAGAATGTAACCAATCAGTTTCGTCTTCCTTTTAAGAGTCTTCTTAGCAAAGCATAGTATATTAATATGATTATGTAATGTTCAATTAATAATCAAATTTGCGTCAGGTGCCAAGGATCAATCCAAAACAATTCGATATATATAAATATATATACATATATACATATATATACATAAATATATACATATATATATATATATATATATATGTATATATACATATAAGCCATGCGTCTCGAGTCAGCATAGAAATTCAATTTAATAGAAATCTACAAGAACGACGAAAGAAAAAATTCCAGAATATAAAAGAATTAAATGAGACTGACCATTGTTTCTTCTGCCATGAATTTCTTGGTCCTCCGAAACAGGTTCTAGAAGTGGTAAAGTATTATCTGGACAATAAGGCGAACTGAATGGAACGCCGGTACTACCTTCTGACATTCCAGCACCATCCAAACCTGCGCTGTGACAGCTACGTGGTAAACTGGAATATCCTAAAAATTCGAAACTTATAAGTATTATATTTTAAATATGTTTTGCGTAAATTGATAATGTTTAACAATATCTGTGTAGTGATCAGACTTTATCTTTGATTTCTGTTTGTACAATTACATTACAATGCATGCTACCGCTTATAAGACACAGGATAACTATTATAGTATTATACATAAAATAGATACAAGTGTTGAAATTACAAAAGAAAGTTGATACTTATTAACTGTGTTTATAAGTAGACTGCAAATTTATATTTTTGAGAATTTTATTTTAAGAATAGAATTTCGATGGAAAACTATTTTATCCAATCAAATATAAAAAGCACTACTTTGGATATTTTGCAAACTTTTTTATATTATGTACATTTTGTACAATTTTGCACTTTTTAAATTTCTTATAAATGTATAAAAATCCAATTATAAGGCAAATAATTGGAGAAATTAAATTATATGATGGAAAAAAGTATATAAGAATATGATATAATCTTCGACTAAATTTATAATTCATTATACTACAATTATAGAACATATGCAATAACAGAGTATTGATGCTTGAAATTTGGACCAGAGTAAAATCTGGCTTTTGAGAATTGTATTTAAAAATATAGGAAGAGATATGAATTTATTTTATGATGACAATTATTAGAAATCTTCTAAACAAATTACAATTAGTAATAAAGATTCATTATGTTATAGACTTATTTTATTAAAATTAACAAATATCCTGTGACTTATAGATAGCAGAATACATATGTATATTTTTTAGAAATATTTCAAGAAATTATTTTTTCTTATATTTTTAAGAAATTAATTATACTTAGCTAATAGATTTTAAACATTGGATAATAACAATATCTATTTGTATAAATATACATATACATATCATAATTCTAGTAAAAGTCTCAGATTTTCTGTCTCACTTCTTCATGATTTTACGTTACAATAGTCTACTAATTAGAATATATTAAGCTGACAATTCTACAATTGAATCTAAAATTTTTAGACTATTATTAATTCCTCAGATTGTTCATCTATAAGATTAATAATAACGTTTATATCATTTTTTTTCCTTATCTCATTATGTAATATATACATATGCAGAATTTGTTTCATATAATCGCATCATTACAATTAAAAAAAGAACTGACTATAATATAATAAAAATTTGTCGAGAGCTTACATTGATATAACTTTACTATTAATGTAATTGTTAAAGAATGTGTAAATTAAAATAAAACTTTAAATAAAAATAATATTTTAAACAATACTTATATTATATACTATATTTAACAGTTTGTTTGAATTTAGTTTTTGCATCAAGATTAGTATACAAGAATCTTTATTTGTAACTGCACCCTCAATTATCTTTCAAACTATTGATTTACTAGTGATTTAAAAAAAAATGTTTTATTTTCAGGAATACATCTTACATAATGATCACAAATTTTTTCTAAGTAGTCTAATGTACTTTTAAAACTTCAAATTGACCTCTGCTTTTTGAAATAAATTCATACATTTTCTTTGACTTTTGTGGTACTTTCCATAATATATTGAAACATAGTTCAACTGTGAAAATAGCAATGCATACTTCTGAGTCAATTTTTCTTTTTACATTTAATGTACGAAGAAATATATTTTCTAAAGTTGAATACTCATAAATATAAAAGGTTGATTTTACATTAAAAGATTTTAGAAACTATATTGATTAGATAATCTTCTATAAGTACTATAGTGAATATTATAAGCTGCTAAAAATCCTATTATTTCAGGTTATAGAGAAAAAGGAATTCTTTTCATTTAAGTTTTATTTATTGATTTTATTAAACTTTATTGAAATAATATAATGCGTCTTAGATCTTTCAAAAATATATCTGCTTTATATTGTTAATTTTGACGAAACATCAAAACAATTAAATAACACTCAATTTATATGGAACTTCAATAGAAACTTAATAAGTGAAGAATTGATGAAAAAATTGAATTTTTAAAAATATAGTTTTTTAATTAATATATATGTATATTTCATTTTTAGTGTTGTTTTAATGCTTAATATGCTTAATTTGTATTTAAACTTGCATTTAGTTAAAATAACATTGGTTGCTATTTATAGTTTCAAATATCTGCAAGGCAGATGGAAAATATGTAAGAATTATTCCTCGTACAGTCTCATACTATATATGCATATGTACTACATACTATACTAGAGTACTATATTAATTTATTCTACTATACTATACTATATCATCCTATATGTCAATTAACATTATACATATACATATTATGATAATGCATGCTAAAATTAATAATAGAAAGAAAAAATACTAACTGATTTCAACAAGATCTTGACTAGGGGTACTAGGGGTGGCTGGTACACTACTAGCTTTTCTTCTAAGACACGTGGTTTGACATCGCTGTATGGGTGGTTCTTCTTTCCGAAGCGGACCCGATTCTTCTAAAACTTCTTTTTCTGTTCTACCGGTATATTTGAATTTTGTACCCCAGGAGAAGATAGATCCACCGCTTACAACTGGTGCATCCGACGCCCTAGGTAATCTAATCAAAACAGAATTTATATTAGAAATTTTTTCAATTGGTTCAATCAAAGTTTTTATACAGTGAAATACTTATTTTAAGTACGATGATTGTTCATGATACTTATATATTATAAAAATCTTACAAAAAACAGAAAAATCTGTTTGTATTTTAAAGAAAAATACTCGTTATCATATTATTGTAACTAGTTTCCCAAAGTTTATGTTATTTTTCAAGTTACGATTCAATGTGATAATTTTTCTGTCACAATTTTTCCAAGCTCTTTTTGTAGTTTTGATCTTTTCATAAAATGAGTATTTTTGGAAATAATGTGGAATAGATCGGTTTTAAAAATTAATTTTAGCTAATAAAAACAAATACGTATTTGAAGATTAAATTAATCTTAAGATAATTTTAAGAAATTCTTTATCAAATTGCATAATTGTATATTGTACAATATTTAGTGAACAAAGAGTTGTTATATTTGTCATACTACTAAAATTCATTGTAACAATAACTATTTAATATCTCGAGTATTATCCAATGAATTTTCATAAACTGTTTTTATTCATTCATCACTTTTTTATTCATGTGAATTTGTAGAAATTAAATTCTCATAAACTTAAAATTATTCAAATTCGACAAATTCTACTTTTAGTAATACAATATTAAATTGCAAAGTTGAGTTTTATTGTTGGTTTTTACTTTTATCAACAAAACATATAAAGTAAGAGCATACAATTACAAAATTTACAAAACAAGAGCATATTTTCAAAAATACAATGTTTATTTTCCTATGAATTCAAAAAAAGTTCTAACATAACCTTAACAGGAACCATAAGTATTATAACCAGAATGAAAAAAGTAGGATAACAATTATTGTTTTAACTAAAATGTTTTTGATTACAGAAAATGATTAAAGTTTCAAGAAAAAATTTTTAATAAAAAATATAATATTAAATTGCAAAGTTGAATTTTATTGTTGGCTTTTACTTTTATCAACAAAACATATGAAGTAAGAGCATACAATTATTACAAAATTTACAAAACAAGAGCATATTTTCAAAAATACAATGTTTATTTTCCTATGAATTCAAAAAAAGTTCTAACATAACCTTAACAGGAACCATAAGTATTATAACCAGAATGAAAAAAGTAGGATAACAATTATTGTTTTAACTAAAATGTTTTTGATTACAGAAAATGATTAAAGTTTCAAGAAAAATTTTTTCATTGCTAATAATCATTATCGATAAGGAAAATTTATTTTGGTTCTTTTTCTTATTTATTTCGGTTTAATATCTAATAATAATTCGTACTCTCTTATTTGTCCTTAATCATTCATTTGCTAAAGAATGAAATAATTCACGGATTCTTAAATAATTTCATTCTTCTTTAATATACTTAATTTATTGATATTCTTATCTTGAATTTTATAAGCTGCCTGAACAAAGAATAAAAACTCTCAAATCGAAATTTTTTTATTCGAATACTCTAATAAAAATTTTCTGTTATCTAAATAAAATTCGAATAATTAGGTGTCTTTTTTCTATTATTCAATTTATTTTATATATCTTTTAATATATTTTATATATTATTGTATGTTCTGCCATGTTTTCCATAATTACAAAAAGTACTTATTAAATATTACAAAAAGTACTATATTAAATATTTTATTTACAAGATTTTATTTAAAAAAATAATATTGATAAAATATAATATAAGAAACTATATTTAATCTTATAGTAAATCAACATTTTGTTTATCATGATGAAGATATTGTATAATTTCTTCAGAAAGTGAATTAGTAAACGAAAATGATAACCTTAAAAAATGTATTTTGGTAATTCAAAGGGATAGAAAGATTATGTAAAAAAAAAAGACTAATTTATTAAGTTTTGGTAGATATTTTATATATGTAAGACAATGTATTTTTAGAGATTTAAATAATTTCTAGTAAAATACATAAATAAAAGCTTGTATATTTCATTATAAAGTTTTCTGTCTTTTTTATTTTAATTTAATTTTGATGGAAATTTTTTTGATTATCGAGATGAAATGACAATTTTCTTAACTTTCACTCGGATACATGTAATCAAATATAAAAAAAGTTGTTCTATTATTATCCGAAAATTCCATTAACCTGACATTTTTGTCTCCTTATTAGTTTGAATATTAGAGGTCACTACATTTTTAATAATTTTTTATGAAAACTAAATAAAGTGAAAATGAGAACAGAGTTTAACAGATTCAGAACTTAGTTCTGGTTTAGAAGCATTTGTGTTGCCAGAAAAATCGAAATCAAATGATCTAAATGGTAAGTAGAAAAACAACGTCGTAATTTAAGAAAATTATCTACGCAACTATTTTTTGTTTTCTTTGCTAAAATTACGACTTAAGTTGATTAATTATAACGATATGACATGTATAAATTGATTAATTAATTGATTAATTATTGTGAAATAAAATGTTAATATTATGTAGAAATTGTAAAACGCAGTCTCGATTCAATTTTGTAACGATTGCGAT